CCGAGTTAACCTGTGCTAACCCAATACCGCTGACATTCACTAGTGTCTGTCTGACGATGCTGATGGGATATGAAGCGCTCGTTATATCCCATCATCCTAGTTTGGGTTCCTGAATGAGATGCTTCACTAATCTGATCTGAATCTTCTGTAGTGATGAAATACACTGTTGGGTGTTGATTATATTAGACGTAACCTGTGTGATCTGCTCTCAAAATTCATATGAAATATTAAAAGTTCCATGGAGATCAGTGCAGGTTAGCAAGAGCCCTATGAAATCCACGTTATTTCTATTTATCTTATTATTTTTAATAATAACCAGCTGATGCCATGAGGTCACGGGGTCAAACGGGGAAATGAGCCACTGCTGTTGGAGTTTGATTCTCTGGTTTATTTGTGCAGTATGTTTTTGTACTGGTTGAAACTGACTGCATGTTCTAGTAGCTGCGGTTTGTGTGACCCAGCAGAGAGTGTGTGTGCGTGTGTGTGTGTGCGTGTGTGTGTGCGTGTCTGTGCGTGTGTTTGTGTGTGTGTGCCTGCGTGTGTGTGTGCGTGTCTGTGCGTGTGTGTGTGCGCGTGTGTGTGTTTGCGCGTGTGTGTGTGCGTGCGTGTGTGCGTGCGTGTGTGTGAGTGAGAATGTGTGTGTGTGTGTGTATGTGCATGTGTCTGTCTTTGATGCTGTTGTCCTCTCAGCACACCTGCACTCTCGCTGATGAACACACACACACACACACACACACACACACACTCTGTTGCAGTCTCTCGTGAGAGTTTGTTATTGACAAAAAATTGTATGTCAATATTTTCTGAGATTTTGTTTCATAACAACGTGCGTGTGTGCGTGCGTGTGTGTGAGTGAGAATGTGTGTGTGTGTGTGTATGTGCATGTGTCTGTCTTTGATGCTGTTGTCCTCTCAGCACACCTGCACTCTCGCTGATGAACACACACACACACACACACACACACACACACTCTGTTGCAGTCTCTCGTGAGAGTTTGTTATTGACAAAAAATTGTATGTCAATATTTTCTGAGATTTTGTTTCATAACAATAATTAGACAGTATTTTTCTGAGTGTGTTTTTGTTGGTGCTTTGACAGGTTTAGGCCTGTCGTGGACCGCTAACTTATAGGCTTTTCATATTCATCATATTCTGCACAGCAGTGATATAAATTAATTTTTCTATTAAAGGCAGGTAGGTAATTTGGTTCAAAAACATGTTTTGTTCTGATGATTGAAAGTCTCTTCACATCCCAATAGCAATCACAAAGTGAAGTGCTCTAAATGTATTTAGCCTATATGTATTTATATCGTCTGTGGAAGGCGTAGGAGTATAAAATGTTCGTCCAATCAGATTCCTTGGTCTTTATGAATGGTGATTGAATCATTCACTCAGATGATTTGTTCAAAAACACTGATTCACTCAGTAATGAACTGCTTTTGCTCTGGCTTTGTTTTGAACTAAATTTCGCAGGCATTAAAACGGCATTCTACTCCACTCTTAAAAATAGCTTCCAAAAGTTTTTTTTGCTGAGAAGAACCTTTTTTGGTTCCTCAAAGAACCTTTCAGTCATCAGTTCTTAAAGGAAACCTTTTTTTGTCTTATTGGAATTAGGGTTGCAAAGGGGTGAAAATTTTCCGGTAAATTTCCGGAAACTTTCCAGAAATTCCCGGAAGATTAAAAAAAAAAATCCTGGAAAGTTTCCAAAATTTCTGGAATGTTTCCAAAATTTAGTGGAAATTTTCCACCCTTTTGCATACCTAATTGCAAATAATATTTTAGAGTGTTTTTCCGCTATAAAGAGCCTGTATGTTAAAGGTTCTTCACGGAACCATCAATGCCAATACAGAACCTTTATTTTTTATAGAGTAAAATACATCACACAGTCAGTGCATGGGCTCTCAAGGTGTGATTTTGTTTGGTTTTTGCGCACCGTACTCTCTAATGTCAGCTCACACATTCAAAACAACAATTAAAGTATTATCGTAGAAGATTCATATCGCACACCTCTAGTCCTATCATGTTTATTCTGTGATTTTTACTGTGGTCTATAGAGTGTGTGCCAGCCGGAAGTTTAACACTAAAGCTTCACACAGATGAACATCGACACATTTACACATCAGTGACGTCTGCTGAAGAGTTTACGATAAGAGTGTGAAAGCATGTGATAGGGCTGGGCGATTTGGCAAAAAATTAAAATCTCGTTTTTCTTTTTCTTTTTTTTCTTTTTCAGAACGACTCTGAAAATCGTTTGACCGATTCTCAATTTTATACGATTTTTAACTAGTCAACTTGAAAGTGTAACTACAACATGACTGAAGTAACTTTTTCTTTATTAACCTTCTAGTTAAAGAAAATTCTATTCCAAGTGCAGCACACATGAAGATGTCAACATGATGTAAATGTTAAACAAATCATTTGTTAAGTATCTTTGCAGAAAAGATGTATGAACTACAACTACATCTTGTACAAACTTGTACAAAATAACTGAAGGTATAACACCAGTAGACTATTATTAACTACAAATGTTCTGTAAAAACAACAGCAGCTTTCAGTCTGTCACCAAGATGCAAACATGAAATATCAGACATACAGTAGTAGATACAGTTTTTTTTTTTTTTTACATGATGTGGCGATTAATTAATCTAATTAAAATTTGGCTGAGATATTACTCCCAAAAGATACTTTAAAGTCATTTTTGTGTAAAGGATCAAACAGACATTACAAAAAGTAGCTTCAGCAAGAAATATTTTGTTTGATTCAACATAAAATTTATTACATATAC